CGAACTATATAGATGTCTAACCAATGAACTGCATACTTGAAACTAATTAAAATTAAAAAAAAAAAAAACAGGAAAAAAGCTAACATATATAATAATAAAGCATTATAATCTATTTATATGTAAATAAGGACATATAAGTAAAACCAACATCTGAAAGATAAAATGTATTCTATGAACACAAGCCACTGAAGGGAAAAAAAGAACCGCACATGAGCACAGCAAGGAAGATGCAACCCCACTAGTAATCTTAAGAACTGCAAATAAAAACGAGAGACCTTTGTGAACCCTGAAAAAGAAGGTACCTACCAAGAAGGGATCCTGGTAGCTAACTGGGCTCAAAATTAAAAACAAAAACAAAACAAACCAGAGTTTAGCAGCCTTTTCTAAACAAGGGCCTCTCACAGAAGCTGTGCTGCTAGGAGAAGCCTACATTGAACTGCCTGCCTTCACTGTGTTCCTGCTATCTGAGCCAGCTCTTATAAAGGAGTTCCTGGAATTCTATTTCAACCAACAGGACTTAAGACTTTCCCCATCCAATCAGAGCTGTGCAGCTATATCCTATTAGCATCTTCACCAAGCAATCAGAACAGCTCCATTCTGACCAATCAGGACAGTGCTTTTTGGACCAATCAAACTACAAAAATATGGAGTTCTCATCTGCATAAGGACAGACCAGTCAGAAAACAGGGGTGGGAGCTTCTGTCTATATGTCAGCTCCCCTCTATCTTGGGGAGCACACTTTCCCTTTTCACCCTAGAATGAAGACTGCTGCAAAACCAAAGACTTCTAGCCAGAGCAGATATGCAGTTTCATAATTGAGCTGTAACACTATTTGTACTGAATAGAGTTTCCTTCTTTACCCCACATGTAGTTAGGTATACGTGGCTCCCTCCCTGCCCCCAACAATTCTATTTTAGGTATCTGCCCTAGACCAGAGAAATTCTCTCATGAATTAGGAGACTTATACAAGGATGTTCATAACAAGCTGTTTAGTCATATTAAACAAACTGGAAAAACCTAACTGCCATTCACAGGAGAACAGTTAGTGATATAGTAATGTAATGGAATACCATAACATTTAAAAATAAAGGCAGAGCTATGTTTATTAACACGGATAAATCTCAATAATCTACAGAATTTGATAGAAATTCTATAAAGTAAGTCCAAGAACATGTAAAACAATACCATATCTTATTTATAAATATTTAAATATATGTGGCGGGAACATAAAATTAAAAACACAAGATAATAAGAAATACCAATTTCTGACAGCAATTACCTCTGAAGGGATAGAGGGGAAAAGAGAGAAATAGAGAGTCCAACTATCTATGTTTTATTTCTTTAAAAAACGTGAAGCTGAAGCAACTATAATATCATGATTCAAAAAATCTAAGTTGAATTATCTATGGGTATTTGTTATACTTGAAATATTTCATTAAAATATCTTTTAAAAAGCTCCTGCATAATTCTTTGTGTTATGTCAGTTATGAATAAAATTAGAAGTAATCATAAAGTGCTAAGATCTGAAACAATTTAAGAAGTTAGAAAAATATGCTCCCCAAATCCTTACTTAAAAGCCCAAATCATGGCCAACTCATCATTCTTTGTATTCGAAGTACCAATTTTCTATTTTGTGTTTTCAAGTAACTTACCAAACAATTTTCATGAGCAGCTATATTCTCTGATCGTGCAAAGTATAGGACACTACACTCGAGGTCTTTGGGGCAGAGTGCACATGTCCTTTTTTCCAACTTTTCTGCAACCTGAAAGACACCTATAAGTAACATCTCTGATGAGAAATAGAAAAAAAGAATTTCTTGGTTTCCATAACTCCTCCGCTAGTCTTAAAGTAGAAGGAGGACACTCGTTTTTATGAGATTTTCAAGTCCCAGACAAAAAAATCTGGACCCAAGGGGAAAAGTAACTTACTTTGTATTTTTGTAATGGCTTAATGAAAGAAAACATTAATGAATTCATTTAAAATGCTTAAAATGAGGACAATCTTTAAGAAACACAAGCAGGAATTTAAATATAAAGCTCTCAAAACACTGCCTTGCCCATTGTATGCTCTCAATAATAATTATAATTATCGTCATTTATGAGGCAGGATATTTAGCGTAGGGAAGTTCCCCCTCCTCTCCTGGATGCGGCTCAGGAATTTTTCCTCAGTCCCTTACTCAGTCCTCTCCCTGTGGCTCTGGAAATTCTCCATTGCCCCTTACTCTGGCCTCTCTCACTTTTGATTTCAAGCAAGAGACACCAGCAGGAAAAAAAAAAGCCCAGGACAGGAAGATAGATGGCTTTGGGCCACCTCCTTCCCTTCAGATGGCAAGAAACACAATCCAACCCCAGGAGGCAGGCCGGATAGCCTTTGGACATGCCCCATGCCCAAGAAAACAAAAGCCCATGATTCAGACTGCTGGGACAGACTCTCTCTGAGCTGCCCACACTTTTCTCGTGTGTTCTTTTGCTTTAGTAAAACCTGCGCTTTCCTGCTTGCTATTTGTCGTGTCCTTGAATTCTTTCTCGAAGCATAAGACAAGAACCTGGTCACTGGAGCTCTCCGGGGTCAGGGGTCCCTCTTTGGACTCCCGCCCAGATGAGCTTTCCTGCATGAAATTACAAATCAACAAGAAAACAATGGTGTATTCAAGAAATAGTGCTAACTACCTGTAAAACAAACAAACAAATGAACAACAACAACAAAAAACAAATTAGATACCTACCTATGTCATACTATATTCAAAAATAAATTTGGGATAAATTAAAGAAATGAGCAATGTACCTTAATGTAAATGTGCTTTAATCTAGCATTATAATAAATTAAGAGAGAAAGATACATGAAGGTAGGAAATTGATTTTTTTTTTTTTTAAAGAGAGGAATGGAAGAAAGGAAAGAGGGAAGAGGCAGGGAGGGAAGGAGGGAAAAAACAGCTGCTCCCAGTATCCCACTGGCTGAGTCAGTGAGAGGTAACCTATAAGTTTGCTATTAATTTGGCTATGTGTATTCATTTAACATTTCTTTGCTCTTTCCAATGCTCATCCTCTTATTCATTTGTTTTTCTGTAGCAAAACAAACAAACAAAAAACACTTTTAGTTTTGAAACAAAGATTTATTTTACCATTTAATGGTGAAAATTTAAATTTAGATAGTTAATTGCTTAAGCAGTTCCTAAAAGTCCTTTTTGCTATTCAGAAGTGTAAAATTTCTTGTTGTCTCTCTTAAATTAGATCTTGCGTTTTTGCAAAGTCAAAAGATTGCACTTCAGCGCTAGCATTTATTTCACATTCTGATGACTTTCTTCTTTAATTAATATCTGTTTCTTGATTTGGGTCCTACCTAGTGAGGATACAAATTAGTAGTCTCCCCTGCTTCCCACCTATCAAGAGAATAGGGCGGGGGACTGAGAGGAAACCCCTCAGATGAAATGAAATGGGTTAGCTGCTTCTTTTCATTCACCTTAAACAACTACAGATTTGAGTTGGGCACTCTACACCAGCGCCATCCTACAGAAACATAATTCAAGACACTTACATGTCTCATCTGGACAAGACACATTTTAAGTGCCATATGTGTTGAGTGGCTACTATAGGAAACAGCAGAGCAAAGGATACAAAGAAATATGAGACAGAATTGTCTGCAAGTAGCTAACAAAATATACAGGAGACCAAAGAGCAATTAGGAAAATAAAATAACAGAATAAATGCTACAAATAATATAACTGCTGAGTGGGAAATACAATAAATGCTATGGATCCAGAGGAGGAACTGCTACCTGTGGGATGCTGTGTTGTCAAGGACATGGGCCTTGAGTAGGTACAACCTGGAGGTGGGACAGAAATGTGTGTAGGAGGGACTTTGCAGACAGAAGCAGTGACATGTGGGAAAAAGTCAAGAGATCTGACGGGAAAACAGAAAAATAGCTGGGCTGTAGAGGAGAGCCTGTGTAAAGGAAGCTGGAAAAGAATTTGAGAAATAGATGGTGAAAGGCTTCCAAAAAGGATTTTTCAGCAGGGAAATAACATGATGAAAGAGGTGCTTTAAACTCAATCTCAATATACGGAAATACTGTGCTCTTAGAGAGGAAAGCTGAACATTATGTCAATTTTATACCAAATAAGTTTTAGGTTTAATGTCATTTCAACTTAAATCCCAAGAACATTACTTTAAAGAACTGGGGGTGGAGGGGGGGTGGGGGGGAGAGATTATTCGGAAAAATAAAAGGACGTGAATGGTGAATAAAACTGAAAAAAAAAAAAAAAAACTGACAGAATACCTGCCTACCCAATTTAAAAACATTATAAAGGTCCAACTAGGACAGTAGATGACCTTGTCAAAGGAAAGAACACAAAGTATAGGGAGTAGTAATCATAATCTATAATTATGAATTTAACATACTATAAGGTGGCATTTGCATTTCTTCTCTGGCCCTGATATCCTTAGCCCATTTTTCTATTGGGTTTTTCACTATTTTCTTAGTGATTTATAAGAGCTTGTCATGTATTCAGGACATTAACCTTTTGTTAGTCACATAGGTGGTCTTTTAACTTTGTTTATAATGTTCTTTGATACATAGAATGTTTAAATGTTTTATTTGATGAAATTATATCACACTTTCATGGTTTTTATTCTTCAGTAATGGGGACATAACTTAGAAAACATCTCTATTTTGTTCTATAATTTAATTTATTTTTATATTAAAACATTAATATGAAATTAATTTTATGATAAAGAATGAGATGGAGATCTGACTCATTTTCTTAATGGTTAGCCATTGATTTAAAATATCCTTTCAAGTATTTAATTATTACATATATTTGGGCTTGTTCCTGGTACTTCTATTTTGTTCCATTGACCTGTCACTTCCTCCACCAATAATACCACAGTTTATAATTTTTAATACTTTAGAATATATTTTAATATTTAAAACATAGAGCCCCCATCCTAGTATAAAAATGTGAAAAAAAACCCCAATATTTTATTCACCTCAGGCCCAAAGTCTATCGTGATAGAATACTGTGTCCTTATTTAAAAAACACTTATACTAGACATTAAAATCTATAAAGCATATGCTTAAAAAGATTCAAATTACTAGTACTAAAATTCCATAATAAAATTCCCTAATAAAACAACTTGATAATGTTTGACAGGATATGCAGCGCCCCTTGTTGTATAAGAGCTAGACAGTTTCCCATAGTGTCACCCTTTCCTGTGCAAAGCTGGACCTTCACAAAGGTGCACTGCATCAGGCTGAGCTGTCAGGCCACTGATAACTGAGCAGGCCCCCTGTGCTTGCTCTGGGGACTCTGTGCCTGTCCGAGCTGCATTCCCAAGTCCACAGGCTCCTAGGGTCTTGGTACCTGGGAATATAGTGGTGGTGGCGACATTGCTGTGCTTGACCTGGAGTTTGTTTTCAGGGCTCATGGGCAGAAACCCAAGGTGAGACACATAGGCTCCCCTCTAACGGCTTTTTCCTGCTAAAACACCCCCTCATTGCAGTGTCCTAAAAAATTCTGGCTCTTCTATCTTGTTTGTTCTTATAGATTAGAGGATGCCTATAACTCTCTGATTTGGGGAAGTCACATTAGAGGCTTTCTGTAGACAGGCATCTAACACTATCTGAATGCTTGCTACCTGTTATCTGAAACTAGGACCAAATGGATAACACTTGGATAACTTGATATCCCAAATCATCTGAACTCAAGAACTATGCAGACTCAGATAGTAAGGGCTGTGTATCATGGGAGCTGGGACATTTTAGTGAAGAGTCCATTGGTCTCTATCAGTAGATGAGAGGAAGAACAATGAAGATCAGCAGGGCCCCGCAGGGTCTTTCTACTGGGTCTAGCAGGCCTGAGGACTCGCAGAGATTGACTGACGTGACAAGAAATCTCAAAAATAAAACTGTTAGCTAACAAAGGTCCTACAGAATGAAGCCATAGAAAAATTATAGGCTGGGAATACATGAACTATGACTAACTCAAACCCAGCTCCACATGGTCAGGAATTACTAAGGCCATAGCCTTTGTAGGGATGTCAGCGGTGTCTTCCCAATGCTCCTCTTCCTAGAGATGGTCTAAGGCCCACCAGACGAGGGCAATCCATCCAGAGGATATAATCTTGGGTAGCCAGTGGGATAGCCAAGGAACACAAGAGTGGAACTGATGAAATGAAGTTCACTAATCCTGTAATTCCTTGACAATCCCCTTCCAGTAGCATATGGTCTATGTACTGGACTTACAACCAATTTATGGTGCTGGCTTGAAAATTTCTTCCTCTTTTCTCCTATGATCAATAGCTTTTATTGTTAGTTCTTTCATTGTACAACAGATGTGTAGAAGTCAGCTTTATCACAGAATTCAGTGACAGAATACCTGAATTAGATGAAGACCAAAATAGAAGAGGAGTAAACATTACCTAGAGGCTTGGTAATGAACTTGAAAAATGAATGCCTCTATGTGTTGTTTCTGGATGACATGACTAGCTTTAACTTTGGGAGAAGTGTGACTGAATATGTATTTGAGATAGCTAGAACACATTACTGGGGGCAGCTTTAGAATATATTAACAGGAATAAGGATGTGTGTATTGTAGGGGAGGGGCAGTGGATAGCATAGGAGTAGGATGTTCAGTGAACGTCTTTAGGGTATCTGTCTAGCTCACAATCACCAAAGAGATGACACCCAGCAAGCATTTGCGTACTATGTGACTCCACTTCCCTAAGCCAGTCCCAGAGAACTTACCCACCCATCTCCCAAATATACAGAATTCAGACAAGATTTTAGTTCAGTTTAGACTGGTTTCTTGAAGTAAATGTAAAAACTGGGAGGCTGTAAGGGCAGCCATCTTCTATCCCATTATCAGGAAAACTGAACCAAAGAAAGAGGAAAATAAAGCAGATGTGCTGAGAGATGCAGAAATAAGAGTTAGAGGAGAAGGCTGTCAAATCAAAGTTTATGATGGCTTTTCAGGTCCTAGTTCCTGGCATAGCATCCATGCTCCTGGGGTCTGTGTGTCTGGTTTCCCTGCACCCTAGTAACAATCATCTCTTTGGTTTAGATTATTTTTGTATTATTTGCAGCTAACAAGTCCTAATTAACACCCAAAGTACCATGACCTGACCTCTCTGTGAATAGGTACATGTATACGTATGTATGTGTGTGCACACATTTGTGTTTAACAGTCTAGAAGTGGTGTGGAAGGTGAACTGCCCATTGTCTTTCTCCTGATCCATTTTGATATCTCATCTCCCTGCTGCTGCTTTTCCTGTCATTATTCCATTCCATTCCTCATGCTGCTGCCAGAACAATTTACCTAAAATGTACATCTGCCCATGTTTCTCTCTTGCTACAAAGACTCTTCTCTATCACCTACAGAATAGAAGCCAAGCTTTTTAGTGGTACATACAAGCCTATTCATATTTTCAACAAACACTTAATGAGTACTGATCTAGGCATCAGAAATAAAGCAGAGAATAAGATGAAGAGTTTTGACTCCTGTGGAACTTATGTTCTGGTAGTAGACACAAATGTCAAACAAGTACTTTTTTCAGGTAATGGTAAGTGCTTTGAAAAAAAGAGAGTACAGGAAGGAGGTATAGTGTAATGAAGACTGGGTGGGAGGTGGTGTTCTTTTAAACAGGATGCACAGGCGGGGCTGTGGAGGATACAGTTGAGCAGACTTGAATATGGTGGGGAAGTGAGAAACGAGATGCAAATGGAAAGACCCTGAGACAGGTACAGAATTGGGGGCTTAGAATCATCAAGGCAGTGAGGGGGTGACATAGTCATTGAATGGGCAGGGGCTGGATCAGATCAGGACGTGTGGTGCACTGTAAGCCACAGTAAGAGATTATTCTGAAAGTGATGAGAGACTGTTGGAGGGCTTTGAGTAGGAGAATCACATATGCTTTTTGTTTTTTAAAGATCATTTTGGCTGCTGTGCAGGTCTGTCTGTATGAGAGGCTAAAGGAGAAGCCAGGAAACCACTAGTCCAGGCAGGAGATGACGGTGTCTTGGGCTTATATGGTAGTGATGGAGGTGGTGACAAGCAGTCAGGTTCAAGATATATTCTGAAGACAGAAAAGACTGATCTGACTAATGCATTAGATGGGAGGTGAGGAGGAAAGAGAGGCACTGAGGGTGCCTCTAAGGTTTTTGGCCTGAGCAACTGGGTGAATGGAATGGGGAAGCCTGGTGGTTGAACAGGTTTGGAGTACGTGGGTTTATATGGAGAAACAAGAGTTCTCTTTGGGACATATTTAGTTTGAGATCATTCCAGGCTCATTTATAAAGTTAGTTATATGAATCTGGAGTTTGGGGAAAAGGTCAGAATGAAACCTCAATTCCAGAAACTCATCTTGCATTCCATATATATACAAGCTGAATGAAATATTCAACTACTTGGTTCGTGGTTGTCACATACAATGTTTTGTGGCTGGTGCCTTTATTCATGTCATCACTCCTGTCTGGAACACCCTTTCAACCTTTCTACTTGTAGCTGATTTGCCCTTAAAAACTAAGATCAGGCATTCTCATCTCCAAAAAGCCTCCGGTGAATACCGGCCTGAGTTAGGGGTCCCTCATTTGTGCCTCTGTGGTTCTTACCAGCTCACATGTGAACTGCCTACTAGATTCTCTAGCGCAGGGTCTGCCTAACTCACCTTTGTAACCCTAGTACCTAGCCCTGAGCCTGGCACATGGTAGGAACTCTACATCTGCTGAAGTGAAGGGAAGAAGCCACTCAGAAGACTGTTGCCTCACTCATGGAGAAGGCGGTTGAGGGCTGAACTACTAAATGGAGAGGAGGGGATGGTTCCAAAAAGTCATTCTCTGGGGGAAACTTTCCAAACTGCTTCCTTAGATCTAGCTGACCACTTCAAGACAGGTTAAGTGCCTACCTCTCCCAGGCACTTCCCAATTGCTTTGTTTTACCGGTAGATGGTGCCACGTTTGGGGAGAAAACCCACCGGAGTTTACCTGGGTTTTCCTTGATGTCTGCATTCCCATAAGCAGTGGGAGAGGTTAATGGGAGGCACACCCGCTACCGCAAAACTGCCCCAGGGCCTCTGGAGGTCCAGCCTCAGGGACTCTGGGTCGTCAAACGGCCGCGACCGCGGTGAGCAGGCCCTGGGCGGGACCTGTCCTTGCCGGGCCCGCCTGCAGCCCCTTTCCCCCGCCCAGGCCCGGCGCCGCACTCACCGGTGGGTTGCGGGAACTCGTCTCGGGCCTCGGACCACTCGGGGAAAGGCCGCGATGCCGGGTCCATGGCTGCGCTCACGGTTGCCGCCCGACGGCTGCGCGCTGCGCCGGCGCTTCCGGAAGTTCGGCCACTGCCGTTTCGTTTTCGTAAAATCCGTGATGATGATTTCCCCTGCCCAGAGGAAAGTCCCGGGCAAGCGACGCGTCGGGCTTGCAGGTGGGTTCTCACCCAAACAAGGGCTTGCGTCTTCTCTAGATCTGAATCTGAATTAAAAACAAACAAACAAACAAACACGGCAGGCGCTTCTCGCCCACACCCCCTTTTTCCTTGTCGGATGGTTGGAGGAAAGGTGGCCAAAGCCCCTGGGCTCAGCTGGAGAAACGACTGCTCTTCTGAGGAGTTACCCATGTCTTCTAAAAATTGTATTTATTTAGTATGGCCTAAATAGGTATATGATGAATGGACACTGAATTAACCGATCGAAATTCCAGTTACCAGTCGCAAGTCTTTATTTAGCACCCATGGGGTACACAGCACCACACAAGAGGTTTTAAGTGCATGTTAATATACATGTAGAGAACATAAATATGCATGTGATTACAGTTGAAAAGTTGTTCTGGAAAAGAAGCATATAATGGTGGTTTACTGAGGAATTAAAGAAAAACTACTTCAAGTCTTGCAATTTAAGCAGGTTTTAACCCATATCCCATTTAGAAAAAAAAAAAGTGTAACTCACTGCCAGAGTTAATTTTACATAAAAACGCTCTTTGAGTCTGAAGCAAATCTGATTGGTTTTCAATGTGAAAATAAAATATAACAACTGTTATTGGAGTAATTTATAAAGAAAACTTGTGCCAGACCATAATGTAACAGAAATGTATAGATAAACTGGATTCATAAAATGAACCTTCAGCTAACAACTGTTCAAGAATAATGTTAACATCATGTGTAGGAATGCTCTTTCCTAGAATTTGACATTTTCAGCGATGGAGAATAACTATTTTGTAAATGTAAATACCACTATTAAAAACTGAATGCTATAAATAGAATGATGTCATTTGTTTCCAAAGACTATCAATACACTAGAGCGATGCAAAATTAATAAAAGCGAGATATTTCCTGGCAAACTTTGGGGGAAAGGTTAGGACTAATCTATGAGTTATCTTAGGGTAAAAGCTGCAGCCCCAAGCTCTACCAGCGAGTATTCTCAGGGCAAATGGGAAATGGATTAAAGAGGAAAGGAGGCAAGTTTGGGACAGCAGAAAAGAGAATACTAAAAAGGATTAGTTGGATAGTCCTGACAAATACAGAAATGGATTACTGAAGCAAGAGCATGGGGCTGCAAAATGGGAGAAAAGAGCAGCCTCGTACGGCCAAGTATTTTGCATTTCAAAATACTTGAAGAGTACAGGCATACCTCATTTTATTGAGCTTAGCATTATTGAACTTTACAGGTGTTTTTTTAAAAATTGAAGGGAAGACCCTCTACCAGCAAAAAGATTACAATTTGCTTTACTGCAATACTTGCTTCATTATGGTGATCTGGAACTGATGTAGCATCTGAGAGGTTGCCTGTGTTCTCTGCCAGGCCAGAAAGAAAATCCTAAAGACACTGAATTAGAAACGTAGCTCAGCTAGGTCATGGTGAAATAGTTGAGGAATCTCTTCCCCCACTCTTAGCTTTTCAGTGTTCTTCTCTTAAGAGTAGACCACCAAGATCACTAACTGAAGAAAGCTTGTAACAAAAAATGATCAAAGGAAACATATAGGAAAAACAAAGAAATGAAACTTGGAGGTAACAGAATATGAAAGAAGAAAATATAGATATGTATGTTATGTATATGTATCTACACACAAACAGTATTTTCAAAGATATAAGATACAATATCTATGAACCCAAAATAGGAAGCTATTAAAGAACATTCAGAGAAGAGAGATCTAGAAACTAAAAACCTGAGACCACAAAAATAAAACACATTAGACAAATTTGGAAGATTCAGTTGAAGAAATCTAGAAAGTACAGCAAGAAGACACAGCTGGAAATTGAGAGAAAAAAATAAGAAAATTAGCCAATACTGGGGGTCTAACATCTAGTAACAGGAATTCTACAAAGTGAGAACAGATGAGGACTCGCTAAAAAAACAGTTCATGAAAATGTCCCTGAACTGAAGGACAAAGTTTTCAGTGTAAAAAATCCCAACAAGCACCCAATACAAGGGATGAAAATGGACCCTTACCAGGAACAGAACACTGGGACAAAGTAATGCTATAAGCTTCCAGAGAGAGAAAAATAGTCGTATACATGAAAAGAACAGAATGGCTTCTGACTTCCAACAGTCACCCTGGAAGTCATAAGTGAGAATGTTTTCAGACTTCCCAGCAGCAACACTGGAAGCTTAATGTCTTCGAAATTGGGCATGGAGGCTACTCAAGAATTCTATATTCTGCCAAAGTAGCAATCAAGTGTAAGAATACAATAACATTTTCAAATACGCAAGGTCTCAAAATATTTACCTTTTTTCCTTTTCGAAAGCTACTGGAGGATATGCTGCACCAATATGTGTGGGTAAATCAAGGAAAAGGGAAATAATGGGATTAACTGGAAACAAATCTGACAAGAGAGACAAAGGGAATCTCTAGGATACTAATAGATGACAGCTCTGAACCAGTAGATTGAAGCAGATCAAGATGTCAGGATTTGTGCACAAAAGTATTTCCCATACTGATCAAGTGTCTTCACTTTATTTTAGTGCACTGCCTAAAATACCTGAGTCTTTACTGTGAATTGAAGCACTTCTTGACTTTCTTCATTTTTTTGCTCCTTTCCATAGTTCTTTGGTTTCCCACTCTTCTAAAACAATTTCAAGTTAAATTCTCACCTAGTTCAACATTTTTAAGAAATTAAATTGGGTCTAAACTTAGAATACATTTTTATTCGAAAGATAACCAAACTAAACCCAGAATCAAGTTCAGAAAGAAGGAAAGAAAAACATATTCTCTCTCAAAAGCCAGAATTACTTTTAATTACTCCTTTTTGAGTAGTATTCTCATCTTGGTTCTAAGGGAGAAGTTCCTGGAAGCTCAATGTACATCTTTGTTAAGGATAAAATTAGTTTTGACCCTTGGAGATTGCCAGCCCCCTTTCCAGCAGATAGATGATCAGGACTAGGCAACCCATTGTCAAAAGTAACTCCTTCCCTTTTTCTTTAGAAAAGCAATTTGCCCATTGCCCAGGAGAATCCAAGTGGCTGTTTTAGACTTTGCAGCTCAGTTTTGTTGTTTTTTAAATGAAATTCTTGCCCACCACAATCTCTTCTGGCCAAAATAAGCCAAGTCTGACTAGTATCCAGGTCTCCTTTTCTTATGGCTCTACACTAAAATAAAAATCTTGCAACTCCTCCAGGTTTCTAGTTCCTCCTTTCCTGCCTGTTTTTATTGAAGGAGTAAAGAGAATCTCAAAGTTTGCCAAAACCTTCACATAGGAAAGCTTCTCCCACATTCTCACTCAAATGGCTTCATGGGACAGTGCTTCATGGAGCTATATTGCTCAGCCCTTGTTGTCCACCTTCTGGCTCATAATGGTAAATTATTTGGCAGGAATTAAGCATAAATAAATTGTGCAGGTAAAAACATATAATTTGGCCCTTCGGGGGCATGAACTCAAAGATAATTATCACAACAACAATAAGAACAGCTGAATTCTATTGTACATTTGTTTCTCTTAATTTATAAATAAGTTACAAACTATATAGTAGTATTTCCTATATAATATACACTTCCATCCTACTCATGTAATGTTAAATAGCAGTAAGAATAGAGATACCCTATGCGTATGGAAATGTCCTTATTTTGTTCCTAGCATTTCTGTCACACAAATGAATCCCCCACCACCCCTGACAAGGGTAAACTGAGAGGAATTCTCTTGATGGATCACAACCTAAAATAATTCCACTGAAAACTGAGGGTTCATTTGCATGGCTCTAACTTCAGCTTGATAAGGTAATTTCATGAACAGGCATTAGCTACATATTTATAATATTTTTTTTCTACATTTATTAACCCCACATTGGCAGAGGATTTCTTTCTCAGGCATAGTCCCAGCTTCATAACCATAATCCCATGTTAGTTCTGTTCTTGCTTTCACATACCTGAAAAGTAAAAAATCATCATAAATTATCCCGAATAACTACCAAATGAATCAAACTTGATTATATCAATTTTCATAGTAACATCATTAACCATCCTCAGAAATATATTCTAACACCAATTAGGAATGCCTTTATTAAGAATAATCATTTGAGTTTTATTTCAAATCTACTAAAATCCTAAGAAACTTGTCAATACCCATGAGGAAGGAAGTGTGTTTTGCAAACAGTTAGAACCCAGTGATGTGAGGCCTGCAGTGTGGTAGCTGGGGATAGTTCTGACTTAAAGAAGATGTAGCAGTCTGCATCATTTATCTCCTGAATTGAACGGCGTGAGGCCTGCTATCCTTAGCCCTTTAGGCATTAATTCTAAGAGGAAATAATTTAAATTTCAGCCATTTAAAATTTTGTTGACTTAGAAAGTTTGAGATAATTGAATATTCTAGGGTACCAGATATTAGGGGCCATGACACATCTTTTTATAGTTATCTTTTTTCCCCTCCCTTTCTTGTCTCTGTCTAGTTTCTTCTATTGTTATTTTTTAACTCGCAATTTCAAAATTAAATCATATAAAAAAATTTCAAACCTGTTGGTGAAGAATGCTACCAATGGAAAATTCCTGTCATGTGTTTCTACAAAAACATTCTGTACCAAAAGATTTGGGCAACAACTATGCTGTTAAAAAAAAAAAAATTAAAACAGAGGTTACATACATATTTAATGACTTGTTCTTTGAAGCATTAGAATACCATTCTGTTTCCAATACAGCTCACTTATTTTTGTTTCCTTTTTTGTTGACTAATATGCAAAATATCAGAGCTCATTACCATCCTGTTAATAGTTGCAACCCATTAGAAAAGCCTGTTCTGACATTCATATCTTGCTGGTAGAAATGCAAAATGGTATAAACCCCTATAGAAGATAATTTTTCCTTGGTGTGAAACTGAGTCTACTAATAAACATTTTGGAAAATATTAATCATTATTATAAATGTATTTATCCTTGATTCAGCAATCTCATATCTGAGAATGTATTCTACAGATAACATTTGCACATGTATCCATGTGTAAGATTATTTATTCAACATTGTTTTTAACAGTAAAAGTTTGGAAATCTAAATGCCTATCTAAAGAGACCTGGTTAAATATAAACTTCAGTATAGCCACATATTGGAATTCTATGCAGCTATAAACAAAAACAAACATACAAAAAGAATGAGGAGCTCTCACTGTGTACTGACATGGAAAGATCACCACAATGAATTGTTAATTTAAAAAACATGGTATAGGACAATGAATACGACATGCTATCTTCTACATAAGGGGGAGAAATAAGAACACATATTTATATTTAATTGTACTTGCATAAAGAAACATTACAATTAAAATGATTTTACTACAGAGGGTAGAGTGGAGCAGGGTGAATGCGGGCACAGTACTTTGCAAGGTATGTTTTTTTTAAGAAAACAGTTTAATACGAAGACTGTATATAACCTGAGTTTTATATCATAGCCAGACAAACCCTTTGGAAGGGGAACATATGTAAGCAATTGATTTTTCTGCTGAACATAACCATTATTTATCCTTGTTCCAAAGCTTCTAAACATGATGATACTATTTCCTTCTATTACCACCATTCTAATATTATCCTGTTGCCCACTAGCTACCATTTTCACACATTCTCCTATCATTAGGTTCTTAAAAGAATCAAATTCCCACAATATTCCTCAGACATGCCTGCCACCATTTACTTTCAATAACTTCCTGTCCATACATTTTAAACTTTAGGCTGATGAACTTTACTCATGGTGCCTACTTGGCAAGCTTAGAGCTACCCTGAAACAGAATTCTGTTTAACTGTATGTATGTATGTTTGTATTCTGTACGGCTTTTTATTTCATGTATTATCTATGTAGAAAAATTAAATTAAAAAGAGAAGAAAAGAGAGGAAGGAAGGAAAGGAAGGAAGGAAGGAAGGTAGGTATGTAGGTAAGTAGGTAGGGAGGGAGGAAGGAGGGGAAGGAGGGTGGAAGGAAGTAAGTTAAATGCAATACTCCGATAAACATTGGTTTTCTACACTAAGCTACTAAATCACTCAAAACTTACTAAGAGTAAGGAAAACATAAACACTTCCAAATGATTTTTTGAACTGTTAGAGGCATTTATGAATAAGATTTATTGTATAAGACTCAGAAGAGAAACTTATTCTATGTGTTCTATTACGATTTTTTGGAAATCTTGAAAACTTTTCAATAAACATAAGTTATTTTCTTATATACTATTTCTTATCATTTTCTTAAACTAATGTTTACTATGTGCTAGGTACTGTTGAAGCACTTTATATAATATATATATATATATATATAGATATATTGATTTAATCCTATGAGTCAGTTATTATTACTATCCCTGTATTATAGAGATGAGAAATAAGGCATAAGAGGGCAGGCAACATGCTCAAGGTCATACAAGTGGAAAACTGGTAGTCCGGCTTTAGAATCTGTTAATTGTATTTTCCTCATGATTTTGTTAAAAAGCAAAGAAAAAAAAAGTTGTTTAGAAATGTGAATTCAGCCCAGATACTCACATTAAGAAAACGGCCCACATTTCCTTCTTTTGTGGCATCCAATAAAAACACATTTCCTTTACTGAACTTCTTTAGAGAATCGGTTGAAGTATTCTTGGTTTCACTTGACAACTCTTTATCACAAAAGACCTGCTGGTATTGACATGCTGGAGATTTTTCCTCCTGGGGTTTTAGTATTTGAACCTCGAACTCCTTTATAATATTCTGATTATCCGATGTGGTTGCTTGGTTATATCTGTCCTCTGGTGGAGTTTCTTCTCTACATTTAGTTATATCTATCACATCTGATTCGATCAACAGACTGTCTTCAGAATCTTCAACTTGTGTTGAACTTGAGTCTACTAATAAACATTTTGGAAGGAACTGTCAGGAAATATACTTTGCTAAGCAATAGTGCTGAAATTAACAATACTAATTAAAAGCTGATTGCTTTAATTATCACTAATGTGTTAAGGTAGAGTGCTCCAATTTTACAAATGAAAACTTTGAGCCTCTAAGGGGTTAAGGGACTCATCTGACCCACAACAATGAGAGGTGGAGCAGCAAACCCAGAAATGTCTAGTTCCAAAGTCTCCCTTCTTCCTGCTATATAATAATGCCTTTTTATGAATCTACATGTTGCTTCCTATTACTGTATTTAATCTCTACTCCTCACAAACTGACTTTCCTCCCTTCAACTTTGGAATCTGAATTGAAGTATATTCTAAACAGCTGTAACAGTGGGTATTTAGGGAACACAGTAAGCCTTTAACACCCAATGAAAGGCCTGAGAAGATCCCATCAAAGTCACCCTCTATAATAACTGTATTACCATGGGCTTTGTACACATAAGTGTTTGGTGATTTTGCTAGAGGACCATTCAATAATTACACTTTTACAAAGATTAATACTTTAGAAGATGAACTGCGTAGTCGTTTTTCTTATCCAATAATGAAAAGGTTTTTGAGAATATTCAAATAAGTAAAATCATTTATTTTTAAAAAGCCACTGTGCCACTCAGTGGCAGAAAGAAATTATATTCCTCTAAAATTAATGCTCTTGATTTAATCATTACTGCTGTAGCTGCTGTTCCTACATGTACTCATACTTTAATCACGGATTACTTGTGAGCCATAACTGTACATAACTAATTTTTTTTAGTGTTTGCTATATACATTGCAGTGGCTAATGAAAATGACAAAGGAACTAAAAGCAATAGTATTCATGGTTCACATGCATTAAATGTTGAAGGAAATCAGAATGTTACCCTAAAATACGCCTCTTTGACAAAAGAACTATTTTGAGCTAAAGGTGCATATGCAGGAAAAGCTCTCTGCTTCTCCTTGTCTGCCTAAAAGTAAGACATAAATTTACAAAGGTATCCCTCCTCCTACCAAGAACAACAAAAGTTAATCACTAGAGACAACTTTAGACCTTTATCCTGGAGATTGAACCAGAGAAATTTACAAAACAAACTTTACTAATTAGCCTATATATACCATTGGTTTCCCATATATTTGTCATTCTTAGAGACTCAAGGTCCTTTTCTTTTGTTTTGTCACACTTTTAAAAATTTATTCTTAAGATTCTAGATAAGCCAGAGTTCTAAGGCACCTTTTTGAGTTACTCATCTCTGAGTCCCCTCTTATCCTCAGGGGATACAGGACCCCCGTGGGTAGTACCGAACCCTATAAATACTATGCTTTATCCTATATACATATATCTATGATGAAATTTAATTTATAAGTTAGGCACAGTAACATTAATAATAATAAAATAGAATGTAACAATATAACATAATAAGTTATGTGAGTGTCACCTCTCAAAAAATCTTATTGTCTATACTCACCCTTCTTGTGATGTGAGATGATACAAAGCCTGCGTGATGAGATGAAGTGAGGTAAATGGTGTGGGCGTTATGATGTACCGTTAGGCTACTTTAAGGGTGACTGGAACACAATCACTGCAATACCGCGACAGGCAATCTGATCAGCAGGATGGCAACTAAATGAGTAATACGTGGGTAGCATATATGGCGTGGATACCCTGGACAAAGGGATGATTCACATCCAGGGTGGTATGGTGTGCAACAGTGAGAGATTGCATTGCGCTATTCAGAATGGCGCACAATTTAAAACGTATGAATTGTTTATTTCTGGAATTTTCCATTTAATATCTCTGGGCTGTGGTTAATGGCAGGTAACTGAAACCATGGAAAGAAAAACAGTGGATAAGGAGAACTACTGTACTCCAATGTGTTCCATATACAACACTCATGGTAATGTTAATACATGGTAATAAACTTGTTTGTTTTTCTC